CTAAATGATGACACAATACTTTTGTGCTGAGACACATGGACTAGGTTATTCTGAAAAAAAGTCTTGCCTTTGTTTTCCAGCAAAAACCTAGTGAAGAAAAGCTCACTAGCATGTCATAATGGTGTAGTTTTTGGTAAGAGTTTTAGAATGTTAGCTGATAATCTGAATTTTATCCAAATCATAGGAACGTTAAGACAGGGTTTAGTGTCTGTTACATTTATCGGTGTTTTTTTCCCTCAAAGGATCTTTTATGTTGCAAATAATTCTTTTAAGAATACTTCACTTTATAGCTTTGATTTTGAGGATCATATGGTTTTATGGTTCCAAGCAGGTATTTCAAGCCTCAGTTTGTGTGTCCAGGGTTTGAGCGCAGTAGTATTTTTCAGTCATGGAAATAAATCTGGAGTTCCTCAGTTGGGTACAGCCACAACTAAGTAGTAAACGTAGTTATTTGAGCAGTGTGCCCATTTGTCAGCAGAGCACGTGCTGTAAGCAGTCACACAGGCAGTCTCTGCTGCCGTTGTGTGGCTATTGCTATACATTAAATAAATTGCCATACTGCTGGATATTATTAAAGAAAGCAGGTCTTTTAATGATCATTCATTCAGCCATTAATTTTGGCTAGAAGAAACACAATAATATGATTCTAAGTAGAATTATTACGATTCTAAGTAGTACTATCATTACAGGAAATATATATATATATGCATATCTTCACATGAAATTCCCAAACACTTCCAGTTAAAATTTTCAGAAGTGGTGCAAAGAGCAGAACATATGGATCTGTAGAAACTCTGGTAAATATCTCCTGTTCAAGTAATAATAATAATAATAATAATAATAATAATAATAATAAATTAAGAGAGTTTTAGTGAATATTTAAGATTTTAAAGTGTGTTTTGAGGTAATAAGACATTCCAATTTTCCAATTACTAATAGAGCAGGATAGAATCATTGACCAAGACCAATTAGGATAGATTTCTCTAAATCATATCACCCAAACATCTTCATTCATATCAATTGATCAGAATTTTTTTAATAGCTTCTTTGGGAGACTTTTGATGTTTTTTTCTTTCAACACAGTTTTTTTGTCTACTATGAGAATCCAATGAAATTTACATCCTACTGTACTTCTAGATTAAATTCCAGTTTTTTAGAAAAATGTGAAGTACAGTATTTCAGAAATGTCAGAGAAATTACAAATGGCTTTAGAAACAGTAGTTGTAAAAGTGTGTTGACATTCCCTGCAGTTTTTCTTAGTTGCTAGATTTCCTTTCTACAAGGGGCTCAGATCTTAACACAAATAAAGCTCTCTCTACAAGTAGATTTAAGCTTTATCTGTTTTCTCAGTCAATGCCAGTGAGGCATCAGAAGAATGTTACTTGTGTTCCTGTTTATGGCATTCCCAAATCAGTGTTCAACAGCTGAACTCATTGACTTGAGAATTAATATTCTAAAAGAATGCAAGTCAGCTTTTGGAAGTTTCTGGCACAAAATGAATCAATCTGATTTGTCATCTGACTGTGCCTTTCACCCTTACCAGGGACCCCCCAGTGCCTGTCTCACCTCCCTGCTCTGCTGGTGCTGCTGCAGGCTGGTGCCCCAAGGGGAGGTTTTGACCCCCATCCCACGTCAGCCTCCTGCTGATCCCAGATGTGATTGGCAAAATCGTCCACTCAGCTGTGAAAAGATGTGGGATAATGAGGGTAGTAGGCACAGACTCACGAGTTTATGTTGTTCAGATTCATTTGAGTCATTTGAATGCAGAGTTAGGGCAAGATTGACATTAAGTAGTACATTAGAATGAAAAAGGCGTTTCTGCTAGCATGGTGGCAGTGCTGGGCCTTCAGTCTGCTTTTATATCTACTTCCAGGACTCCCTGATTTTGTCATGTCCTTCAACAGGCAGAATTTTGCATGCCTCTAAATAAAACAGCATTTAAAAATCCCATCCTGAAAAGAGTAACCTTTAGCAAAGTCTGTTAGAAAATAATTTATTTTCCTATGTTTTGCATGGAGTTTAGAAACGGAGGAAAAATTCACTTTCAAAAATGTAAAAATTGACATTCAGTGCATTTCATGGTTGTAGAAAGGGTTTTCAGATGCTATGTGGAAGTGTGAAGAAGGAAATTACAGTGGTTCTTTGTGCATAGATTGTGGCACTGTAACTTAAAAGCTGTTTACAAGCAAAATTGGTTTTTGCAGATTTACTGAGGTGTCAATGTTTACACAAAACATGGTTAAGTCATCATTCTTTGGTGTCACTGCTCTTTTCCTGGGATGGTTTTATCTGTTTGGCAGATGGCTTCATACCTTCAGCAGGGTGCAGACAAGTATGCAGACCAGACTTTCCATTTCTTCTTCATTATGAGTTTTCAGCTGAAGTAGAGATAATTGTGTATTGCCATCCTCAGCTTTTGTCTACCATGCATGCTTCAGCTCTTGGAATATATAGTAAGTGTTTCTGACCAAGAGATGCAGATTTAAACAAAGGGAATAAAATGTGACATGTTTGCCAACAATGGAAGCTTTCAGTGTTCAACAAAGTCAGGACTAAGGCCAGCTCTATAAACATGTCTGCTCTTGGGACTATTTTGATATTTTTTTATTTATTAATAGAATTTTGTATTGCTCTGATTTAATTGCTATTGTATAGAGCTAAATTAAAGTGGTTTGAGATTTTTTTTTTTGTTTGTGTTCTAGTTTGTTGGTTTGGTTTTATTTGGTATGGTTTTTTGTTTATGTTTTTTTCCTTTCAAGCTTTGTCTGCTCTAAAGAGAACTAAGTGTAAATGAAAACTGTTCTCAATCTCTGACTAGCATTTGAACTCCCATGGTAAAGGGAAATCTAGCACATATCTCCTTGCCATGTTAACTCCAGTGGTAAGTCTCTCTTCAAAGGTTTGCAGCCTCTTCCTGTCTCCTGACCCTGGCTGCCCTTTTCCACATCATGTCAAAATTTGACTGTTTCTTCTTGTGCTAATACAATTGTCTGTGGACTGTGCTGTGGATGGGATCACTGCACTAAGCTGATTTAAGAAACTGATTATTTGCTTTGATTAGTGATCCTGTCTTTACTGCAGCCTCACAGTGACATACTGATGAAGGCAGCAAGAAGGGAAACTTAACAAAACATTTAACTCTTCAGCCACAAATATAAACTACAAGCCAGACTGGGAACACTAACAAGTTGTACTGTGATAAAAGTGCTTAATGAAATCTGATTGCTGATTGAGTCAGGAGACCTTGAGAAACAAATGAAACTGAATGTGCAATTCACATATGTCATAGCAAATATCCGTCCACAGACAACATTCAGACTGCATGTATAATTCTTCTATTTATCTTTTTAAATATTGCTTTTGCATCTCTGATTTTTATGTTTTGCAGGTTTTTAGGGTAAGATTGATAAGCCAGCATTCAATATTTGTCCCTTTTCATATATCCAATAAAATATTTTCCAATGTGGCTAATAGATGTGAGTGAGGTATTATTAACTTTAAATTCTGAAGAAGGCTCATAGGACCAGTGCTATGGTCCCATTTTGACTGCAGCTACAAAATATCTAGTTAGAATTTTTTGACTGCTTCTTTTTGCAAGTACTTGCAAATCCATGCTCATCATTCTTCCCAAGATGTTCTTTTTTCTATTATTAAAGAAGCACAGAAATCTACCAACTGAATCTTTAGAACATGATTATTACTTTTTTGAATAATTGAAACATAGTGTAACTAGGGATATTCAGACATAATTTGAATGTTTTCTTAAATTCCTTGTTTTGTATTAAAAGACTTTCTCAAGTATATAAATCCACAGGATCTAGGATATTATGCAATGACTAATATAAGAATGCAGCAAAAGGGAACATGTTCAGAAAACATGTTTTATAGCACCGAGACTCTTACAATTGTAAAGGCAAACTTAATCTCATGGGGAATATTTCAAACATATGAAGTTAATTCTCCAAGAGAAAGAGCAACATGTTTCAAAAGAAAACAAAAAAACCCAGCTCCTTGCTAAAGCTTGAAAATAAAGAGATAAGGCAGTCAGCCTCACTGGATTAATAACCAGAAAAACTTCCTTCAGACAAATGAATGACAGTTCCCCACCCAAAAAAAAAAAAAAAAAAAAAAAAAAAGCTTTACCAGCCCCGTGTGTAAGAGGATCCAGACATCACTCAGGAGCACTTGAGAAGGTAGGCTATTCTACAGATGCTTACACTCGTTTTTAGCTGGGTCATACTGAAAGAATTTCAGATGAGGAGTTACGGTGGAATTATCTAAGCACTATTAGATACTAAGTATCAATTAAGTACTTAAAGCAAGAATTGTATTTTCATTGCTGTTTTATTTGTAAAATATTCTTTCAGATTTTTACTTCCAAACCTGACTTGTCTTGTAAACTATATTTTGTCTTTCTTTCACTGTTAGTTTAGATCAATCTGGGTAAAACTGGTAAACTTAGGGTGTAATATCTGGATATAAATGCAGAAGCAAGAGTCTTAACAGAACTGCAAGGAGGTGCAAGTGTAAACCAGCAGATATATCAGAATATGTCTCATTTTGCTAAGATTTTTTAAATCAGTGTCAGGCTGTTCTATTAAAGCTGTGGAATTTAAGCATGCCTATGGTAAAATCTGACTTTTGTGACAGAAGAATAGTCTATGTAACTTCCTCCACCTGCAGAACTGTAGATGTGTATGCATCAAGAAAGCATACCCATGCAGATGCTTCTTCCGCAGTAAAGCACTTAAGCACTTAAACATTAGTGTTAGTCATAAGTAAGTCCATTGCAGAAAAGCTTTTTCAGGAATAATAATAAAGAAGGTGAATAACTTCTTTTGATTCTTTTAATTCTAGTAAACTAAACATTCATGAAAGATTTATCACTTACGAAATTAGTATCTTCTTGTATTTCAGTGAGTGAAACTTCACCAGCGCCATCCGTTCAGTGGCGAGCAGGAAGATATTGTGGTATGCTTCATCTTGAACCACTCAGCCTTCAGGCACTCTCCTGTATATCCAGCACCTGCAGCAGCCCTGTGAAGTACCACAATGACTAAACAGGACAAGTCAACAGAAGGAAATGGTAATTACAAATATAACTATGCAACTTAAGCACATATTTGTTTTCTGCATGTAGCTCAACAGAGTGAAAATTCTGTTTTCTGCTACTTCTTTTTAATATAAAATCTTATTAGTCACAATTCATTAGCTTTTGTTCAGAAATGTGTTTTATTTGGAAGTTGACTAGTTGTAGCATGGTAGTGTGGCTTTCCACTGACTATAAATCAAAAGATTGTGACTAGTCCTGTTACTTGACTTGCACTTACATATAGTTTGAAGGCAGGACTAAGAAAACAGTGCTATTTTGTATCTTCTGTAAGGTGCACAGAAACAATGACTCCTTTTCTTAGTGCTTTCAGTATTTATTATGAAATGTCAAACATTCTTCACAGAAGATTAACAGTACTAATACTAATATTAACAGTACTATACTAATACTGCACAGTTCTGGGTCTGAGAAATGTTTTCATAGGATAATAATGCCTAATGGCTTATTCTGGCAATGTGCAAGTCTAATTGGGAAGTGCTCTCAGTTCTCGTGAGCAGTGCTACCCTTTCAAGGTAAGGATCTCTATTGTATGCAACAAGCATGATGCTTTTCCTCTTCAGCATGGAAGAAAATTTCCTTGTTCTTTAGGTCTTGCTAAGTACCAGGGCAGGTACTATTGAACAGCATTTTCTAGATTTTTAATCCCTAGTTGTAAGACTCAATAAAATATGTTCTACTTCAATAGAAAACATCATAAGGGACTGCTGAGCATTTTGACAGAATATAATGGGCAGTTAATTTTCAAAGTCCATCCAATTTGCTTTCCTTTTATCATCTGATCTCCTCTTACTTTGATTTGCCTCAACTTTTTTTCTACAACTTTTTTTCTGCAACACCCTAATTTAATTTTCAAGCAGTATATGCTAATGGAATTAATTTTAACACAAGAGACTGACAGAATTTAATGCAGCATAAACAAAACACTTAATGGCTCCCAAGGAATTTTTGTCTCCATAAGAAACATTTTGAGCATGACTATAAAACCTATACATTTTTATAAGCATATATAATGCTTATAAAAAATTAACAAATTCTAAGACTAACAAGGTTCTAAGTTTGCCATAAACATCTGCCTTTTAATTGAAAATACCTGACTGAATTGTCTTGTGTTGTGATTCAGTGACTTTATCATTAATTTGAATTATAGTGGATATCATTCCCATTGCAAGCCAACACTTTTTACCTGGAGAAGGTAAAGATTTTTGTTGCTGAATCATGATCACTCTTTGGCACTTTTTTTTTCCCACAAAAGTTTACCTTGTATATATAAATTACAATAAAACCTAACAATCTCAATGACAGTTATGTGAGTATTTGGAGATGTGTAAAATTAGGACTGCATTATGATTTCAGAATGTTTGAAAAGCTGGACCTCCATTACAAGTAACCATGAGATACTTCCAGAACATGGTTCTCAAACAACTTCTAACCGGAAAAGTCCATGGGCTGGAGGTTTATAGCACAGAGCTCAGGAACTAATCTAGTTGCAGTTTCTTTACAGGAGGCTTTGTATTATCACTGCTGACAGTCCTGAGGAATATTCTTGCAACAGTTTCAAATAATGTATTTTCCCTTTTTGGTACTTTTATCTCTTGTGAAATCATTCTTAGTTTGGCAATTCTTGTTTCACAGCATGTGTGCTGCAAAGTCTAAGATAGTAGGAGATACATGGTTCATTATGCTGAATTTATGAACGTGAATTCATTGTTCCTGGCATCTCATACAGGAAAAGACAACCTGGGGCAAAAATATTCAGAGTGGATTTTTAAAAGGGAGCAGTTAGAAAGTACCTATTACCCTCTAATTTAATAGTAAAAAGAATATGTGGTGAGCTGGTCAGCTCTAATTATCAACCTTAAAAAGAGCTTTCTCCTCATGATATAGTAAAAAATACAATTGACTTCACATCCACACAGAACCACTCATTTTTAACTTAAATATAAACTCTTTTTTCCATATTATCATGTGTTCTTCCTATTTTAGCAGCATTATTAGTGAATGACAATGAGCTAAATAAATCCCATTCCAGAGCCAGCAAAGGCCAGACTGGTATGGTTTGCTGCAGTCTCAGACTTCTCAGGCTGCACTGAATGCTAAATATTCTGATCCTCATTCTTGCAGCAAAGACTGCAACGAAAATGGAGAATTGCCCACTGCTAGCCCACCAATGGGCTCATTGTGTGATGAAGACCAAACACAAATGTGGTGTCTTGTTGTTTTATTACAGTACCCAATGTACCCTGTAAACTAGCCAGCTCTCTAGCCTTGGATAAGGCAAAGCACTCCAAGGTTAGATCTTGGTAGGGCACAGGTAGGAGAACACAGGTGTATCCACAGAGATGGAGCAAGGGACTGAGGCCTGGGAACTTTAGTGCATGTTTCCCTGAAGGGGGTGAAATACTGAGGGGTTTCTCCTTGAACTGTCTTCCCTCTCTACCTTTTGTAAGCTTTATAACTATAATATCAGATTTTAGAATCCTTGCGCTGAAATCGTGCAATAAACAACTTATTTATCCCTGAAGGGAGGGTTTAGTCTAGAAGAAGTCCTGACCCCTAAACTGAGAGGAAGCTGTCAAACCTTGCCATGTGTACATTTCCAGAAGGAAACCAGAAAGAGGAGAGTGGAATCAGATGATGTATTGCATGCTAGCTACAGGGTCAACGTGACTTATGTGAGCTCAGTCTGTCCTTTCAGTGGAACATCATTAATTTTTTCTTACCAATGGAGAAGAAATGAGCTACTTATGGAAGTGGATTGAATAGATTTAATTTTCTCCCTTTGGTCCCCAGCTGTAGTTTTCAAATATTGATCTCAAACATCTCAAATATTAGGTGGGCGAATTTTCTCTGCTGCAGAGAGGGAAAACTCATTGCCCCAGAGACAATTTCTGGAAACTATTCAGGTCTGCAGGGTACAGCACTGTACATTGAGTTTTCAAAGAGCCAGGTCTTTGTGACATGAAAGCATAAATATTCTACCTACTTTGTATTTATGGTATTTCCAATTTAGATGGGAAAAAGAAGCAATATATTACCCATTTTGTCTGCAACTGAATAGTAATTATTATTTTACTTTATAAATTCATAGCTATTGATGGTCAGCATACATTTTTTGAGTTGTATGATTTTTATATTCGTTCATTGGAAGTAAAATTTGTGACACTGACTGAGAAAAACAGAGGAAAACTAAAGCATAGTCTGAAATACTGAGTGTTATGGTTTCTCTATAAATGTAATTTTTATTTGGGGTTTCTGTGTGTCAAGCTCTCTTCTTTTGTGCCCAAGGTGGGCCAAGGTGTTCTTCCCAATATCTGGAAAGAGATTAAGAGAATGGGGTCTCTAGTGTTGAGGTCTCAAATCTTGGATGTTGAAGTCTGCACTAATTCACTTTTCCAAAAGACTTTCTGTGATATCTTGATATATTATTTCTGGTATATTTCACAGGTATTACTTCTAGTGATATTTATTGTTACAGAAGTGTTGTGAGATACCCTCATATATCCACGATTAGAAAGAATAATATGGAAATGTATGTAAATATATAGAACTGAGTATAACATAACACTTCCCTTTTTTTGACTAGTACTTGCCAGACATTTATTGTCTAATACAATCTTACATTTCTGACATTTCCTCTTGTTGAACACTTAGTTTATTATCTATCTAGGCTGATGTTCTTCTAGCACTGAAAAGACATGGTCCATTTCAGAGGAAAACACAATAATTGCTTACAGGGCTCTGCTGGCAGATGATCCATTTCATTGAATTAACAACTAATTAAAAAATAATTAATAAATTTATTTTATAACATATAGAAAAAGTCAACATTTTTTGATATACAGGTGACCTTTGCATTTCACTGAATTTTTTGTAGCACCAAAATGCAGAACTGCTTGGCAGCAGTCAGCTTTACGCAGTAGCAGTGGGGTCACAGATATTACAAGAGTGGGCTCATGTTCTATGAGTTAGTTTCAAGAATTATTACCACTCTCACAGTGAAAGATCCATAAGGCTATGCCAGTATAGAATAAGTTTAAAAAAAATCCAAAGCATGAAATCTGGGTAATAGCTTCTGATAGAAGGCGTACAAACAACTCGGGAAAACAAGGTAAGGGTAAAAGAATTCTTATGATCTGCTAAATAGATACCTCATAGAACAAAGACTATGGTGTTAGGCATTTTTTTCTGCCCTTAGTTTCCTCAGAAGCCAACATGTTTGGAGCCCTCTCTTGAGCTGTCTGATATTCTGCTTTGTGTGTGTGACCTGCAGGTTGTTCTGAGCCCATATTCAGGACACCTTCTTTAAGTCTTGTAGTCTTATTTATGGCTATAGTCTAAATAAGACTTAGGGTAAAATGATAGCTTGCTTGGATTACACTATCACTGCCCTTAATCTAGAAAGATGAGAAAGTTTCCCTTAAACTACTTGGAAAAAAAAATAAGAAAGTGATTGGATTTCCTAGACTAAAAGGAGTTATGGACTATATCTTGAAATATACTTAATGATACATATGAAAATAGACTGTCTTTAGGACTAGATAATGTATCCTGGAAGGTGTAGCAGTTGAGCTTTTGCCCTGGGTCACACTAACTCAAATTAGCTGGGTCAAAGGCTGCTATTAGCCCTATGAATATTAACACTGTGAAGATAAGGGGTTCTATCAACCCTTTTCTGGAAAAATCAGTAATTCTAGACAGTGCTTTTGTGACACTTAGTTGGTTTTACAGGGAAATTCACTGAACTTTTGATAAATGATCACATGATCTGTTTAAAAGTTCCCAAGATTAGTATATGAATTTCCCATATAGTGAGGATTTTTCCTGCAACAGATACTACAATTTAATTTTAACAAACCAAAGCATAAAAAATACATTTTGGCTCCCTGGAGGTTGCTAATACAGTGCCTGAGGAATGCACTCTACTGTTTGTTTGTGTTGTGGTTTACAGCAGAACATTCAAATTAAGTGTTAAACTACATTTAGGTACAGTGTCATCACGAAGAGCAATTTATGTTTGAATAGTGTTGAAGTATCTGGTAATGCATTGAGAAAGGCTTTCATAGGAACACCTGAATTGCTACATTTTGAGCTGCCTAACCTGCTCCTTTCCTCTTTGAAAAGTATCATGGAGTTTATGATCTGAAATAGCTTAATAATAACAGCAATAATAACAATAACAACAACAATAATAACAATAACAATAATATTATGATATGTTAATGATATGGTAATGTTTATTTGTCTCTTATTACTCAAATACCCAGCCAGCTATCAACACTGGTCTTTCAATAATAAGTACAAAACAATCAGACACACAAAGTTATTAATGCAAGTGAAATACAAGTTGCCAGGTGTAGCTGCAATGTGGGTATGGTGTGGGCTGTGTAGCCTACATGAACCCACGCATAAATGTGGTTCAGCACAGTTCTCAGGAGTGACAAAGTTCTTCCATTCCCTCTCCTCAGTGATTTTTTTTCTCTTCTAAACAACACCAACTGCTATCACACTTGTCACAATCAATAACTTTTAGTTCTTACTTGAGTTTCAGCAAAATGCTCTCTGAGTGTATCTGTCATACCCAAGGACCAGGAAGAGGTCTGTTATTTTGTAGATACACCAGAATGAGAAGGACACAGCTGTGACAGAACAGTCTTCATATTAACACTCTATCTCCATATGAAGTTCAGTTTGGTGATACAATTTTAAACCTTTGCAGACATAAATTTTGAAGGTGCACTGGGGCTTTCTGGCCATGTCTATAGTACCCACCTCTAGCTGATAATCCCATCTAATCGCTGGTCTTGCTTTCTAGGTTTGTTTTATGGCAATATCTATTTCTGTTTGATTTTAGGCTTTTTCTTTATTTTTTAAAAAAATTGTTCTTTATCACTCATGTACTTGATAATTCAGATGAAAAAACCCTGTTAACATACAGGACTTAATACTCAGGTATGCTCACCCATAACAGTCTTTATAATGCTCTTTTCAAGCAGTCTGAAATCTTTAAGTCAGCTTAGAATTTTATCTCAAATTTTCAGTGTAGTGAATTTGCTACTAGAATTACACAGACTCCAGCATCTATCTTCTCCCTTGTGTAAGTAAGTCTGTGTATCACAATCCCTTGTCACTGTCATTGTTATGTCACTATGATGTCAGCTCAAGCTCAGTAGACTTCACTGCTGATGCATGTTTCCGTATGTATGATAAACTTCCATTTGCTTGCTTGTCATAGGGGCTCATCAGGCTGCAGTGAGGCCAATCTCTAACCAATATAGTGCTTTTCTGAGAATTTCTGTTTGGCTTTAGGAGATCAGCCAAAGCATTTGTTTCGATAGGAGATAGTGCCCTACTGTTGCATGTGAAGTATCTCTTTAGAGGTGTCTGTCTTCACCTTTGCAAGCTTTCAATAGCAGCACAATGGTCTTTATCAAAGGAGATCCTGTTACTGTCAACAGCAGAAGGCATATGTCCAAGCAGAACAAAGGAGCATTTATTGTTGCATTCCAGTGATGATATCGAATGACAATGTTTTTTGCATAATCTTAAAACTTATAGTGCAGATGCTGTAGAAGTGGTAGAAAGTGTTAGTTACAATTAGATGTTTTGTGTAGGGAAGTTAGACTCCTTTTTAATATGCCAGTTAAATTCCGGTTAATAACGCTTTGCCCATTACTGTGCATAGTGAAATAAGACCCTGGATTCCTTCTTGCTTGAAGCCGGACATATTTTACTCCCTTTCTTTGATGCTAGGCAAAGCCAAGAAGTTGCCCTTCATAGTTAGCCACAGCAGTCCCTAAATGAATCAATTTGTGTATAAATTTTCAATGAGTTGCTAGTGGTTAGTAAAATTTATAAAAGAAACAGGGGAACCAGGGAATGTGTGAAGAAAGAATAGAAAGAAAATTTCAGAAATGTTAGAGATGATTGAAAAAGGAGGATACCTGCAGTTTTTTGACAGAAAGATGCAACTGTAAGGCTCAGCAACTATCACCTGTCTAGAGGGGGAACTGGAAAATAAACAGAGGGAATATACAGATTATATAGAAATGGAACGATGGCTACCTACTTGTACTATGTCATGGTAATCTCTGTTAGCCTTCTCATTAATTTCCTACTACCATCTATTTATATAAATACAGCTGATGTGTCTAAGGTGTTTTCCCACACATACAAGCTCAAAAATACCTTAAAAAGGCCCATTAGAACCTGGCTTCTCAAGTATTGCTTCTGAATAAACTTTTCTAAGGAATATCAGTAGCAGTTTAAGAAGCAGTTTCAGGATACATGTTAAGTAATATGTTCATCCCAATGTATTCAAGGAATACATTAATTAGATATAAATTAGATAATATGATGGATATAATACATGTGAAAGTATTTTTATTATTTAGTTTATTCTCTATAAATCTGTGATTGCAGTTTCAAAGTGTACCAGACAAATGTTGTGGATGGTTTTCTGCTTATTGATGGGTAGCACAGACATTGTCTCTTACTGAACTTATTGAGAATGAAAAATTAAGCAAGAGATCTACTCCAAACCATAGATGTTCCTTAGGAGAAACACTACAATCTTCTATAAATAAACTATCGCTCTAAAGTCCTCAATGTTAAAAACATCTCAAGTGGTAGAGTGGTAAAATAGAATTTGCATGTGGTAGAGCATACAAGTGAGCTGGATCAAATTTTGTCCCTGTGCTTAGAGATTTGGTTGCTGGAACTGAGAGTAGGTCTGCTCTTTCCTGTGGAACTGCACTCTTCAGCTGTGCTGCAGGTCTGGACCTCCAGTCAGTCAAATCAGGAAATGATTCTTTTAGCTTTTTAATCCAAGCCAGTTATTTATATCTCATGTTTAAGAAAATCTCAGAGAACTGTCTGAGGAGAATTTTCACCCTTGTTTTCCAAATTTTAGGGTATTTTTAGCATCCTCCTTTCCTATATATTGCTTTCATAAGGAAGAGTTCTTCCTGGTGTACCTTTAAGGCTTATTTATCTGAAGGAAAGTGTAACTGTTTTTTCTGTCTTCATCTTACCTCTTGAAAACTGTTTGCCATGTTCCAAAACACTGGGTTCATAAAATGTTTTAAAAAAGTACAAAGCAGTAATTGCCAAGAATTTCTTGAGACCCCTGAATTCCTAATGGTTGATCCTACCCTTCACATGCCTTTTTTTCCCACTTAACAGATGGCAATGATGACAAGGAGGAAGGCAGTGCAGCTGAGAAGGAAGAAACTGCCAAAGGAACAGGTCAGTAATGTGGGTTGTTTTGAGGCCAGACACAGATGCTTTATGATTATTATTAAGAACAAAGGAGGAAAGGTCTCCTTCTAACATATACCCCTCCTGTCTTCTAATCAATCACAGATAAAAAGAGAGAGACTCCAAGAACCAGAAGGGCACATGCCAGAGGGAGAGGCAGGCATGATGATGAGGAGGATGAGGATGATGAAGGTGGGACAAGGCGAGCTGGGCATCGCAGGCACAGAAGCCGTAGACGAGGGCGAGCAGCTGGAAATGACGCCAGTGATTCTGATATGGAACCTGCAAAAGCCAGGAAGAATCAGGCAAATCAGAAATCCAAGGAAGATGATGAAGAACAGGAAGACGAGAAAGGGGGTAAAAGCGGGAAAGGTAAAAATGAGAAGAAAGGGGACAAAAAGTCTGATAAAAAAGGGAAAAAAGAGAAGGCCAACAAGAAGAAAAAAGACAAAAAGAAATCAGGATCAGGGTAATTAAGTTTTTTTTTTTCTTATAATAAAACCATAGTTATCTTACATGAAACCTGTTTTCACTTATAGATGTGAAATACCAGAAGTCAATATGACTCCCTTATTTGTGACAGTAAAATTAGAGCTATAAAGATATTCTTTGTTCTACAATGAGGAAATGATGGCTGAGTGAAATGAAAACATTCCAGAAAGTCATATTTAGTTATATCCCAAGTTTATGAGCTGTTTTTTAGAGAAAGGGAGCAAAAATGACACAAGAGAAGAGAAAGCGGTAGAGGGAGGTGATAACAGGTGAGATCTACCCTGCTTTTTTTCTTTCCACAAAATTAAAATGCCTCAAACCCCAAGCTGCTAACCCTCCAAGAAAGCCAAGTTTTATTTCCTGCATAGAACTAAAATCTCAATGCTTCTCAGAAAATCACATTCTAGTTGCCCAGACAGTTTTGAGACAGCTTTTTAAGATCAACATCAAAATCTCAAGAGCCCAGAACAAAAAACTGAGATGGGATTTTCCAATCTGTCTCCCACTCATTTCCTCTGAAATGTCACTTTTCAACTTTCCAAAGTATCTAATGCCACCTGGGGTCTTTAGAAGACTCCAGTGACAGGGAGCACTTCAGAAAAACATTTCTATTTCTTTGCCATCCTAGCGTCCCTTTGCTCCTTGTCCTTTCTTGTGCTTTTGAAAGGAAGCAACCACTGGGAGCAATGTATAAAGGAGCAAAGGCAGCTAGGCACACTTGTCTCAGTGGAGAGGGAGAGAAACTCCTGTTCCTCATTCAGCACTTGTTACAGATGATTTTGCTCCCAGAGGCATCACTGGAGAGCACAGCAGGAGTAAAAGGAAAGGAAAAAATACAGTGAGATATGCTCTTATATTAATTTTTTTGTGATCCCATTTATATATGTTTTTACTTCATTTCTCTTCCCAATGAGAATGCCTAAAATCTTTCTGCTGGCTCTGGCAGTTATACTCATGTGTGCAGTTCCCCATACTCACACAACAGCAGTCCTGACTGTGTAAACCTATGTTCCTTGCCTTACTTTTGTCTTCATTGTAAACATTTACTCAGTGTTAATTAAAAAAGACTACTGTAAATAGAAAATTGAACATGGGCACAATGTTTTTAATTATCTTCCAAAGTTCTTAGTACTAAAATACATAATTTTGGACTAAATAACTTGAAATTGCTACCTGGAACAAGACTTTGTTCTTAAAGTAGTAAAGCCTAAAAACTTCTGAGGAAAAACTGAGGATACTCTCAAAGATAACTCAAGAATATTATATTTTTATATTTACAGGAGCTGCTAAAATATTGCAGAATAAGAATAGTTCAAAATATTCTCAAAAGAAAAACAAAATAATGCAAGAATGAAGGATAGCAGGCGGGTGATCAGTTTGGCTGTGATTGAGATAAAGGGTTTACAAAGCTTCAGAATGGAAAATAAGGTTGGCAGTATGGAAATATAGCCTGTCTAGCAAGTCCATGAGACAACTAATCACAACAAATGATCTCTACTGTTTAGACTTAGACTTTGCTGATGCAGTTTTTAAATTGCCAAGGTGTCTCAGCATGGAATATCATGAAAAGAGTGAAGTCAGAAGTTGAGAACGAAAACACACACAAAAATTCCTTAAACAAAAAGAAAAGTGAAACTTTTTGATAGAGAGATGGTTTTGTATTTACTGCTGTCATTGTGGCTTTTTGCTAAACTCTAGTAACATTGCCCATTTTGGTGAGGTCACAGGACAACTCAGCAAAATCTCAGCAGAAGTAGAGGGCAATTGCCCTCTTCCGCCTCTGTTCTATTCATTTAAATCAGGAAAACCTCTTCATGCACTATTTATTCTACATCAAGGACATAAGGGAATCCTAGAAGAACTCTGCATTGATTTTTAGTTTAGTTGATTTTTTTTTTTTTTTTTTTTTTTTAATATTCCACTCTTGGTTAGTTTGTGGTACTGGGTTTCCCAGGGTAGTGACATGATGGAAGGAGTTCTTTCTGGGTGAGTTTTAAAATTTCTGTTCTTAGATGTTAATGGTTGTTGATGAGGCTGATAGTTACCTGTTATTGAGAGTGTGAGGAGGGCCTACTCTACACTGTTCATAATCATCAACCCCAAAATATCAATGATAAATTGCTCCTTTAGTCTCCCTGTGGGGGTCTGAGATGGTTATGGGTTAAAAAACAGTTTAGTTCTTTACTGCTTTGTTTCATTTTTTTTCTGATTGGTTTTAGAAACTCTGTGCAGTCACATGAGCAAAAAAAATTTAGCAATGGGATTATATTCTTCCTACTGCATAGCTCTGTCTGTGAGTAAATTTACTGATTTTTATTTGGTTTGCTTGAGAGTATAAAACTTCAGGGAAAGCCTGGAGGTACATGGCAGATTAAGACACTAATGTTTTCTGAGTAGCATTTACTGACAGGCAATGTTATGGGGATTATCTGTATAATAGAATTTACCCAAAAAACTAGAAAGAAAGATTTCAAATTGAGTCAAATTTTTTTGTCATGCTATACTTTCAAAGTCATGCCAGTCTTATCCTGTAACAACTTAGCTCAAAGAAAACATTTACATTCTAATTTTTAATGCTATACACGGAAATCATGAGAAAAGTAGATTGCATCCATAAAGAGGACATGAAACTAAAACCAAAATAGAGATGTATAATAAGGTCATAAAACCAGAGGTGAATAGAATGAAGAAGTTAATTATGTGTGTAACTTGATTTCAAGAGCTCTACTGACTTAGATGTGTACTGAATTTGAGCCAAGGCAGATGGAGGCTTGATGTCAAGATATTTATTGATACTTGATGCTTTATGTTAGCCTGCAGGTCACAATGAACCCTTCTGGCCTTCAAATGTGTGAATAAAAACCTTTTATGAAGGGCTAAGACTTATGGTTGCAGAAGACAAAATTTTGATTTCCTGATTTGAATAACATGGTGTTCCACCACTTGAGATAAAGGAGAAGTCTGCTATTACTCCACCAAGTTTGGCTGCATAATGTAAACACACTAGAAAATACATATTTCTTAAAGAAACTCTGAAATTTCGATTTTTTATTATTTTCCTGGTTCCAAAGGAAAGTGAAGAATGGAAGATGAGACATGTTCATAAAAACAAAGCAGTAGCTGGCAAAGGGCTCAAAGCCCATATTATCCCAGCTTGACCTCTTGCTTTCTGTTAAACTTCCTTTTCTCAATAAGCTCACTACATTAGCACAAACCCCTCACATTTCCCACCCTCTCACTGCAACTTTGTAAAACCAGCAAATTCCAACTTTGCATAACCCAGCAATCTTCCATCAGAGGAAATGTTTAATATCAGGTACACCACCCCGCTTTATAAAATGCAAGCAGCTGATTGCAACAATGGATTCTGAGCTCTTTCAAAACAGATCATTTAATCCTTCTGTTCTTCATGAAGACATGACTCTCTTTGCATTCTCCTTCAAAAACTTTATGCACAGATCACTTTGTTATCCTTTATCCCTTTGACTTCAGTTTTCATACCATTCTCAACCTGCTCTTCACAATATTGGTATGACATTAAATAGAAGTGCTAGAAGTTAAGTAACAGCTCTTCTTTATGTAGTTTGAAGTTTTCTGTGATACTGTTTTTTGTCATGTGAAGCCCAAATTGGTAAGACTGATGGGTACAACTTTCTGAGGTGATCGTCTATTCAGTATGGGCCACAATGGTGCTCAGAGGATTGGAGCACCTCTCCTACAGGACTAGCTGAGAGAATTGGAATTGTTCAGCCTAGAGAAGAGAAGGTTCTGGGAAGATCTCTCTGAGGCCTTCCAGTGCCTTAAGGCAGCTTATGAAAAGGAGGAAGAAAGAGTTTTTATATGGCCTGACAGTGGCAGAACAAGGGGAAAGGTTTTAAAATTAAAGAGAGCATGTTTGGATTAGATGTTAGGGAGAAATTCTCTACTCAGAGTATGGTGTAGCACTGGATCAAATTGCTTAGAGAAGCTGTGGTTAGTGCATGGGCTGTCATTTGCTGTTTAAATTTGTTTTAGCTGAGGCTGTGGTGTCTCTTCTCTCTACTGTGACACACTAGGGTGAAGGAGTTCAGTTTTATGGCTGCAGTTATAGCATTCTCACTTGACCATTTTGAGTTTGACTCTTAGGAGACTGATTACAGCTCCTTAGAGTGTAACTCTTAAAAAGTGACTGTCAGATTTTACCCCAAGAGTGCTGCTCACTGTCCCTGTGATTTTGAAGGTGTAATGCTGGTTCACCTGCAGCTCTGCGTTTTGTGTAGAGGCTCTGTCTTTCATACAAAAATTAATAACAAGTCTAAAAAAGTGTGTCTTCCCTTCTGTGCAAATGTGAAGGCATTTATCTAGTCTCAAATTTAACAGAAATTACATGAAGTATGTTCTGTGAAAATTTCTATCTGATGTTTTTTGTTCCTGCTTCTGTTTGAAGCTCTGATTCTGAATCTGAGGAGGAGCCAATTACAGAGGAGGAGTTGGCCAAGCTGAAAGAAGAAGTAGAAGAAAAAAAGAAACTGATTGCCACGCTACGAAACAAACCATGGAAGATGAAAAAGAAGTTGTCTGTCCTGAAGTATGGTTTGACTTCCATAATGAGTATCTGCTATCCTGCTTTTCCCTGTTTTTCTGAATTCTCACTTTAGTTCTGCACCTACTCACAAATTGACTTCAGACCACCCCTAATCTTTCTTCCCCAGCAGGTATTCTCACAGTAAGTGGAGGTAAACGGTGTTGCAGATCAGTGATTTCTTGTCCCAGTAAAGCTGAAATCAAATATGGAAAACTAATATATTTTTCTTTTTGTAATTTCCATTACAACCTAGTGTAAAATCCTTTCTTCAGTTATGTGGATGCAGATTATAAGAGAATCATATTTCATTATCTCATTATCTGCTGGTGAGAATAATATCTCATTAATATCTCTCAGAAAAATAATGTAATTGCAGGACTACCTCAAGACTGCTAGAGAGAGAGGAGAGGATTTTTCTCCCTAGTCTGACTTTTAGGAAAGGAAAAGAAAATAATTTATGAAAAAGTGAACTCTTCGAAAACAGAATTTGTATTTTCATGTATTTTTATTTATGCCACATAGAAAACTGTATTTTGCCCTAGCAAACCTATTGTTATATTTACTTGGAAACCAAAAATTAAGTATTCATTTACATTTCAAGTTCCACCAAGCACAGGAACTGGGTAAAACACAGTAAAAACTGGTAAACAGAAAACACAGATATGAAATATAGTGTAGAAAGTCTATAGGTTTATCCTTTTAGAAGGCAAGGTAGTTTTGGAGAAGGTGAACTTACAAAGAGATAATGAAAAGAATCAAAGAAGGTAAAGGGAGCAGTATCTAGGAGATGTAGATTAAAAACATTGTGAAGGTAAGAGGAATTTCACAAAAAGTAAATGAGCAGATTAAATTTTAGATAATTTACAGCTGCAGGATCCCCAGACAAACATAAATTAAACATTTGTTTGTAGTCTTCCTATGGAGAAAGCTTCTGTTTTTACAGCCATTCTTCTATCCCGTAATTCCTTGCAAATCTAAGGAAACTTCATGATTTGGTATGTCCATGATTTGGTATGTCCCTTAGATTATTTTTTTAGACATTATTTTAGACGTTATTGCTTTTCCATGTGGGCAGTGATGACGCTGCAACTTGTAGCTCAAGCACAAGGATGATCAAGAGATTCTTCTGGGCCTTGGGATATCTGGTTAGGAAAGCTGGTGCAGAGGTTGTTTTTCCCTCTATACTTCCAGTTGTGGGCAGTGATAATTAGAGAAACATATATACCCAGTCTATTAATACAAAAATTCACAGGAAAAATCCTATAAAGACTCTGGCTCTTGGAAGATGGAGGGGTGATTTGAGAAAATAAGCACATCTTCACCAGGGAAAGAAATGCCTGACCAAACCTTCTGTGATTAAGCTGCTACATCAGTGGACATAGAAAGGGCTGTGGATGTCATTTAGCTGGACTTCTGTAAAGTCTTTTACATAACGTCCCAGAAAATCCTCTGCAAATTGTAAAGATGTGGATTAAATGGGTGGACTGTATGGTTGCTAAGAAATTGTCTGAATGGTCACACCCAGGGAGTTGCTGGTCAATGGGTCAATATCTGCTTGGACATCACTAACAAATGGTGTCATTCATATCGGGACCAGTGAAATTTACTGATGACTTTCATCAATAATAATTTCATCAGTGACATAGAAGGAGGGATTGAGTGCACCCTCAGAAAATGTGCAGATGACACCAATCTGAGTGGTGCAGTTGACACACCTGAGGGACAGGATGCCATCCAGAGGGACATGGACAAGTGCAAGAGGTGGGAAACTGTGAATCTCATTATCTTTAACAAGACCAAGTGCAGCAGCTTTGTTGGGGCACCCCCCATTATCAATACAGGCTGGAGGAGGAGCAGATGGAGAGCAGCCCTTGGGAGGTCTTGAGGGTGCTGGTGCATGGAAAGTCAAAGAAAAGTTTACAATGTGGGTTTGTAGGCCAGCAAACCAAATGTGTCCTGGTCTTCATCCAAAGCAGTGTGGCCAGCAGGGAGAGGGAAGGGATTCTGCTCACCTAAACCACCCTGGTGAGACCCTGCCTGGAGTGCTGTATCCAGATCTGGGGTTCTCAGTACAGGAAAGGCAGGAACTTGCTTGAGCTGGTCCATACGAGGGCCACAGAAATGGTCAGAAGACTGGAACAGCTTTCCTGCAAAGACAGGCTATGAGAGTTGGGTTGTTCAGCCTGGAGAAGAGAAGGTTCTGGAAACACCTTATAGCAGCCTTTCAGTATTTAAAGGGGCCTTTTTAGGAAGATGGGAACAGATTTTTACAGGAGGATGTGGTAATTAGATGCAGCAATAAAACCTTAAAGAGAAATGGTAATAAAAACAAAGAATTTAGATTCAAACTACATATAGGGAAGATATTCTCTGTGGTGAGGGTAGAGAGACACTGGATGAAGCTGCCCAGAGAGGTTGCAGATGCTGCATTCTGGGAAGTGCCCAAGCACAAGCTGCATGGAGTTCTGTTCAACCTGTTCTGGTTCTTTCCAGCCTAAACCATTTGATGCTTTTCTGATCCCAAAACATACATACCAAAATGCGATTCTAAGTGTGTTTTCTAGAGCCCTGATTTTGTAATTGTTTCTTTGGAGCCTAAGTTCAAATGAGTTCTAAGACAAGACCTGGGGTTTTTGTGCCATTTAAAGTAAAAATTTTATCTTATAAATGGAAATCCTATTATGATTACAGTTACAATAGCATCAGCATATTTTAAGGTATCTATATTCTGTATTTTAGCAAGTTACTTAAGATTTATAACAGAATCATCAGTCTGATAGATTGGCATTATATGCATTATTCTTGTACATATGAAAAATGGACACATAATGGCTGTAAGTGCCTTAAACTTTTGTTTGTTTGTTTAAGTCACATAATGTGACTTTTGAATAATCTTGTGTTAACATTTATGGCTCTTGAAACTCTTGGTGAGCCATTGTTAGTAGCAAGTATTTCCCCCTGTTGCCTGCTTCTTTCCTTGTGAGGGATTTAGAATATCTTGGAATGTGCAGTGAAAAAACCAAAACTGTCTTCTTGTAGGTGGGAGAGCAAACTGGCCTGCTCTTTGTCTTCTGTCTTTCACAATTGAGAGATACTTCATTGGAGGTTTCTTCTCAGCATTATGATAAATGATACATAATTATATAAGCCAACCCCCACTTCCATGTTCATTCTGTATTAGCATCTTTTATTTCCAAAAGTGGAAAAAAAGTGCTATCCAGTAAGGCTCCTATACATGACAAGACAAGACAAAAAAACCTGTGGTTTTTTAATATTATTTTGAATGGTTAATATTAGAATCAATTAGGACTTTTAATTTTAAATATTGTTTTTTCAAAAAAGTCTTGTCAGAGCAAACAATTTTTGGGGAAGGATTCAGCTTCCACTGAAATTTGTGTTTTTAAAAAAACAAGACATTTAAAATCATCAAAACATTTTGTTTAAGCATTTTCAAAGGAACATTTTGTCATGGTTTAAACTGCATATGGTGGGAAAGATGATTTATACTTAACTCTCGTGATTACTTTGTAAAATGGTAAATATTTTCCTTCATTCTTTGGAAAATGCATGAATGAACAGTAATTTTAGAACATGTAGAACTAATGACTTTGCAGAAAATGCCTTCTGTCAAAACATGACTGAGAGCTCACTGTGAAAATGGCGTTCTTAATAGAACTACACTTGCAATTTAGATCAACTCCGACTTCTAATTTACATCCCTGTGTCAAACAGCCCATGATTATTCTCTGTGAAGAACTGTGGCTTGATGAGGATACTGCTCTGATACAGTGTCCCTTTGCAGTTTGAAGTTGAGCTGTATCAATACTGTCAGACTCTAAACTCACCTTCAGACATCATGGTGAGATCTTCACAGGTCTGCAGGTGTGAAAAAGAGGAGGAAGACATGGAGAGGGGTGAAAAGATAAAAGAATTCCCACTCCCCCAAGCCCTACCAATAGACTTGTTAGGCTGTGGGCTGGGGACACACTGGTTTGTTCTACTGAATATATGAGTGTGCCTAGAGTCCAGACTTTTTATCATTTCCAAGACAAATATTCTAATTCAGAAGAGTTTTTTTGTTCTAGTAATTTTCCCTCTACTGGTTTCTATGGCTTGTGAAGAGTGTTGCTTTGCCTTTTCTATGCGAGATGAGAACTTGTCCATTGCCTTTCTTCTTGTCACTGACTACTCAGGTCAGCACAAATTTACTTGAAGAGCCACCAGGTGATAACGACCATTAATTATTACTTGCAAGACAGAAATTTAGAGAGAGGGGTAAATTGATTGATTGATTGATTGATTGATTGACAGAGACCCTTGGGAGTCAGCCCTGAAGGGCAAAGGAGTCCAGAAAGGCTAGATATTCTTTAAAAGGGAAATTGTTAAATATTTAGGAACAGGGTGTCCCCATGTACAGGAGAACAAGTCACTAGGGAGAAAGGCCAGCCTGGTTAAACAGAGATATTAGGCTTGATCTCAGCAAAAAGAGAGAATCTATTGTTTTTGGAAGGAGAGATAGGCAACTTGGGCGATCTACCAGTTCTCAAGTTCATGTAGGCGAAAGATTAGAATGGCCAAAACGCTACAAGAACCTGATCGGCCTCTACTTTTAAAGACAATATAAAGTATAAATAATGTTTGCAGTCAATGGAAGGTCAAAGAGTATCTCCATCTCCTGTTGAATGAAAAGGGTAGTGTAGGGATGGGGAATGAGAGAAAGGCAGAGGTACTTCAAGCCTTTGTCTCAGTCATCAAGACCAGTTATCCTCACGACACACGGCTCCCTCAGTAGGAAACTGGTGACAGGGAAATGAGTCCAGGAGATGGTTAGTGTCCTCCTATGTGAATTAGACACACACACAGTGTGTCCTGGTGGGATTCACCCCACAGGAATAAGGGAACTGGTGAAAGAGCCAAAATACTCTCAATCATCTACCAGCAGTCCTGGTTAACAGGAGACGGTCCAGCTGACTAGAAATTAGGACATGTAACACTCATCTACA